TGAATACTTGATACATTTTTCTGAGTTCACTGCTGGAATGTTACAACCCTCCCGTATGGTCATCATATTTGTATTTGTTAAACATAGAAAAAAGGCTTGGATAATTGTTACAAATAAAATTAAAAAATCTACAAAATCTGTTGATTCAGATGACAGCAAATCATTTAACATACATAAACCGAACTAGAAATGAGACATTGGACTAGAAATTAGATTTTTTTTCTTACCGAAACTTACAACTTATACTTGTCAAGAAGGTTGAGGTAGGCTAAAATACTGTAGTAAATTGTTCTTCATTTTATTACTAACTTTTAACTTTTTTTAAACAATGTTTTATTACATTTACATTTACATTTACATTTAGTCATTTAGCAGACGCTTTTATCCAAAGCGACTTACAAACGAGGACAATAAAAGCAGTCAAAACTAACAAAAGAGCAACAATATATAAGTGCAAATGACAAGTCTCGGTTAGCCTAACGCAGTACACGTAGCAAGGTGTATATATATATGTATATATATTACATATAAATAAATAGTAAAATAATTGTACATTATATATTATATATATATCAAATAGTTAAATAGTTTTTGCTACCAAGCGAGAACCATGAGATTTTACTGGTATTGGTACTGACTTTAGTTTTGGAATTGTGTCTACACTAGTAGTAACTATGTTATTCTGCCAGAAAATCTGAGTATCATGATACATTATAGTATGGGAATGTTTGCATAATATTCACTGATATTACAAGCTTCGTAATGCCCTAAAAAAGGGCATCTGATAACATTGCATGCAAGAGGCAGTCTGTAAAGCAGGGGAGTCAAACTCAATTCCTGGAGGGCCGGAGCCTTTCAGAGTTTAGATTGAACCCTAATTAAACACACCTAATCAAGTCCTTCAGGCTTATTTGAAAACTACATGGTATGTGTGTTGGAGCAGGGTTGGAACAAAACTCTGCAGGGCTCCGGCCCTCCAGGAATTGAGTTTGACACCCCTGCTGTAAAGGGTCTCCTAACCAAAGGACATTACTTAATGTTCCAGCTGCTTTTTTTCTTGCATTTGGTTATAAAAAAAAAAGGTTGATTTAGAGATTCATTACTAT